TATTGTAATCGCTATGAAAAAATAATAGTAATAAAAAATGTATATACATTTTATAGACTGATGTAGTAGTACATATTGCACACCAATAAATGATATATAAAGCAAACTAATGATTAAAATGCAAAAGGAGGAACTGTATTTTAAAAAAAGTCAATAGAAATAAATTTCTTTTAACAAATGAAAATGAATTACCGGTGCAATAAATCCAATAACGATGACTGCCATGAATCTCTAGCTCAGTCATTATCCTGGAACCACAATGGTAGCACAGTCTAAAAATTACAAAAACAAATTAAAATTTAATACAGCCATTACCATAATATATTATATAATCTACAATANGTTACCATAATGTATTATATAATCTACAATATTTTTATTGTAATTGCTGTGAAAAAATAATAGTAATAAAAAATGTATATACATTTTATAGACTGATGTAGTAGTACATATTGCACCAATAAATGATATATAAAGCAAACTAATGATTAAATTGTATAAAGATGGTGAAGTCTATTTTGAAAAAAGTCAATAGCAATAAATTTTTTTTAACAAATGAAAATGAATTACCTTTGTAATAAATTCAATAGCGATGACTGCCGTCATCAATCTCTAGCTTACTCGTTATCGCGGCACCACGGATACCGTCTAAAAATTACAAAATCAAATTAATTTATCAGTGCCATTACCAATATATATATATAAAAACTATATTAATTAACGACCGACTAATAATATCGTATAAAAAAATATTTACCCGCGCAATAAATCCAGTTGTCCGTTAGAACCGATAGGCCGATCCGTTATGGAAACATTCCTCGGGATACAACAACAAACGCCGTCTAAAAACTATGAAATCGAATCGATTATAATTATACGACTTACCAAACGGTTGTGAAAACGTCAAACGCACAGTATTTTTTTTGTTGTTGTTGTGTTTTTTAACGAATAAAAAGGCGTTACCCGTGTTAATAAATCCTCCGTTTGTGAGATGGTTAGAGCCAGCAGCACTCTCATTATCGAAGCAGTGCTCCGGGCACACGACAAACGCCATCTAAAAATTACAAAATCAAATCAAGTCACACAATATCGACAAT